TGGATCCCTTCGTGGATCCGACCTCTCCAGGGCCAGAGCTTGTTGGATTTTGATCCGGACAGCTGGAGTGGTCATCGCAGCAAAATCAACCTCTCTCAATTCATATAGTACCGCAGCAAACAGTGCGTAATCCTCGATGAACCGACTGTAGTAGTTCAAACTGCCCAAGAAGGATTGCATTGCCCGTAACGACTGTGGGAAGGACAAGTCCGCCAACGAAGACAGGTCTCTAAGATTCGCCTCCAACCCCTCCTTGGAGACTCGATGACCTAAGTAATCCACCTTGCGCATCCCCCAATAGCTCTTTACCACGCTGATAGAGAGATTCCACTTAGTACACGCCTCCAGTAGGGATGTCACTCTCTCGCACAACTGATCCCATGTTTCTGCCGGGATTAGAATGTCGTCGATATAGGACCTGCGTCCTAACACAGACGGGGTCCTAGGATCCCTGGCTCTCCTGCTTCGAATGGATCCACTTCCGTATGATCTTCCCCGGATCCACCCCTTTCGGGTTCCGGTATTCGGGTGAATCCATAGAGGGCGTTATCGATCAGACGTTGGTAGATCTGAGGTGCGTTCTTCAATCCAAACGGCATCCGGTTTCACTCGAATAGTCCAAACGGTGTGATAAATGCGGATATCGCGCGAGCTCGATCCGTCATAGTCACCACCCAGAAACCACTGGCCATGTCAAGAGAACAGTACCAGAGTACTTTATCCAAATCTTCCAATAGCTCATTGATTAGAGGCATCGGATACACCATCAATCGAGTCAGGCCGTTAACTAGCCGGTAATCAATGCACAGACGTAAATCCACCCCGTTCTTCTTGATGATGATTACCACCGGAGATGCCCACGGGGACGTTGAGAAACTGATGATCTTGGCTTGCAGCAGGCCCTAAATCAGATCCGATAGTTTTTCTCGGAACTGAGGTGCCACCTTCCGCACCCTTCGAGCGATCGGTTTCGCGTCGCCGACATCGATGTCACCTTTTGACTCCGCGGGCAGCGGGCGGTAATGCATTACCTTTACCAATCAGCAGATGTCGGCTTTCCCAGATCTTCTGACGTAACAGATCCACTTCCGCGGGTTCGTTCGCCTCTGGATCCACTTGGACATCGTCAATCGTGACCTCCTCTGTGGTCAGTGGTACCTCCGGGATCACCGCCAGGCCTTCTCCGAGATCCTCGGCGTGTAGATCCCCGCCTTCATGGTAACAGACCTGTTCATCTTCCGTCTTCGTCGGATCCGCCATTGGATCCAAGCACCGCGACTCTCTTTCACCTGTAAGTCCCTCTGTCTTCGTGGGATCAGGTACCCTGGTATCGGGGAAGCCACCAGTTGGATCTAGTTGATCCTCTAGCGAGTTTAAACCCGACGGTTCTGGTTTGACTAGTGTTGCCACTCTCGATAAGGATCCAGGCACTTTGCCCCATGCAAAGTTAGGATCCACTCTGGGGTCACCGGGATCTGGCGGTCCGGCTTCAGCCTTCTGCGATCCTTCATCCACCGACCCTACGTTATCTAGAGGCCGACTCTGGGGATCATCCCCGGTCTTGGATCCAACCTCCATCGCTTGGACCTCAATCCGACGATCCCTCTGCAGGAACTTTCGCGGAGTTGGATATGAAGGCCGATTTACCAAAGGGTCAGTTGGTCCCACCGGGAGCTTCACCTCTCCGAGAGATTCGATTTCGGTAGTCGCCTCGTACACCAGATTCTGCCATTCTTTGTAGCGGCGGGATCCCACTGACACATATCCAGGTCGTCTAGGGATACCGTCCTTCGCCAACCATAGTCCGATCTCTTCATAATGGTCCAGTAATAGTCTCTTGTCGCTGACGTGCGTGACCTGGAGGTATTGTGATCGACCTGGTCCCTGGATTACTGTAGGCACCCATTTCTCGCCCCGAGTGACCCACAGTTTCTCATGTTCCACCCACTTCAATCGATCTGGCAGCTCCCAGGTTTCTCCGGGCTCACTCCAGGTCGTCTAATCCGCCCTCATGATCCTCATCTTCGCCCCGTACAACGGTCGCCGTCCGCTGAGCTGGATCCGCATCTCGTCGGGGAAACACAGTGTCCCATCCGCCAGATCCAACCTTACCCCAGCTGGTGCCATGAAATCCATCCCGAGGATGGCGTCTTGACCAGCGAGATCTCCAACCCAAATATCGAACCAGTATACCAAACAACCTGCCAGCGTGATCTTGATCTGTGTTCCCCCATTCGTACGGTATACGTCTTCACCAATCCCAACACAATCTTGGATCCGACTCCCATCCACTTGGCACCCAACCTTACGAGCAAAGGCGGTATCTAGTATAGACACCTCGGTACCACTATCTAGGAGTAGGATTGCTTTTTCATTGTTGACTTTGCCCCCTACCTCGGCTTGTCTGAACCATTTTCCTGGGGCCTGGTACTTCCAGTACCCACGGGACTCCCCGGTTAGCAGATCCATGGATCCAACATCCTCAGATCCACGGGATCCAGTGACCTGACAGACCTTAGGTGGATCTGCAGTGACCTCACCCTTGGTAGGCTCAAACCATCGACCATGTTGGCGCTTCTCCCAATAACCACGTGCCTCTCCCCTTTGTAGATCCAGGGTTGAAGAGACTTCGGATCTGGCAAACTCATCCACTTGGCGCAAACTAGAAATCTTGGCAACTAACACTTCATGTAGATCACGTGTATTATCGACTGGATCTAGGGTCCTGCTACCTGGATCTAGCGATGTCTTGTTCACAAATGCATAAATGCAGTACCTAGAACGCTCGGCTCGTACCGGATTCAAACCCGGCGAGCGTCCTAGTTTAACATCTTCTCGGCCACTTCTGGCAACATCCCTCGGTGCTTGGCTGGATCAAACCATTGGCGGATCTGGTTGTAGAATTCTTCTGTGGTGAAGTGCTTTCTCAGAAATAAGAGAATGGTCCTGACGCGGGGTCACTATCCCGAATCAGTGACAATTTCAAGTGATTATAGAGGATTTGGGTTGTTTGGCACGGGTGCAAGTTGCCTGTGGTGGATTAGCCATGGCGAGCAGCACCCCGTATGGAATGACGATGGATCTGATATGAGCGATGTACGAGAAGGCAAGATCCACCAAGACTTACCTCGGATCCACCCTTACCTGGATTCACTAAGATGGATATGGGATATACTATACAAGAGTGGATCGAGTGTGGATCCTATGAAGGAAGGATGGTCGGTGCCCTCTGAAGGTGGATCTAGTAGCCACGGCTAATGAAGAGTCAAGATCCACCGCGAAGTACCCCGGATCCCATACTTCCGAGTTCGGATCCAAGGAGGGAGGATCTCGCCTGGAGGGACCTGGATCCAGGATATAGGGATGAGGGGATACAGTGGATCTCGAACTTTCGTGGGACAATGTAGATTATAGACGGTTGCGAGATGATGTTGGGATGATTGGAGAGCTCGAATTCACGCGAGTGTAACCAGTAACCGTGGAGGTGGGATCCCAGCGACCTGGATCGGATGAGTGTACCCATAATAGGGTGACCATGATGATTACGTCATATATCCGGTGGATCGGAAGATAACGTCAGCTGGGGATGATGGGTCAAGGGAAGATGGGACATGCCATCCGAGCCTGGGTAGGGGATTTCTCCAGATGAAAGACATAGAAAGGTAGAAACCCCAGGCACGTATAGGGCTTAAAATATCATACTGACTCCCAATTTGCACCAGTGGACCCTCATGTGGGCTTTCCTTGCCCTCCAAGAACCGGAAA